CTATCTAGGTGAGTCAGAAGGATATAGTCTTTCGACTATGCAGTTAAGTTATGACAACTTATCGGATTCTTTAAAGCCTTGCCTTCTTTATATGGGGATGTTTCCGGAGGACGCGAGAATTCCAGTGTCTAAATTGATAAGTTTGTGGATCGCGGAAGGCTTCGTGCAGAACATTGAATATGAGAAATCAATGGAAGAAGCAGCTGAAGGTTATTTGATGGATCTCATTAGCAGTAATGTGGTGATGGTTGAGAAGAGAAGCTATAATGGTAAAGTCAAATATTGTCAGGTTCATGATGTAATACTTCACTTTTGATTGGAGAAAAGCAGAGAAGAAAAGTTTATGTTGAGGGTGAAGGGCCATTATAGCAACTTTCAACCTTCCTATTGGAAGGGACCTCGACTTAGCATCAATTTAACTAATGAGCTTTCGAAGATTGCATTGCTCACACCGGAATCACATCTATGCCATCTTGAAACTTTAATTATTCAATTTTCTTTCACGACCGTAGTGTTACCCCCGATTTTTTTGGAAAATGGAAAAACTAAGACATGTTGAGATTACAGGAGTTGTTTTTGACTTGGAAAACATTAAGCAGGGGATCTTTGAAGAATACTCTAAATTGGAATATTTGAGGATATTAAGGCATGTTTGTTATCCAGCTTTGCAGATGGTGAATGCATGGATGGTTTATTGCAGAGGTGACCTAACATTCAAAATCTTAGTCTCACTATCTCTTGGCTTGAAATTTCTGGAGAGATTTGTAATTTCAGTCCCAAACTAGAGAGTCTTACGCAGCTGCAATTACTTGACCTTTCCTTTGAGGGTAGGAGATTTAGTATAACTGAGTTACACCTTCCTTCAAATCTAAAGAAGTTGAAACTTGAAGGGCCTCATATAGTAAGCGCATCTCCCTCAATTGCGGGACTACCAAATCTAGAGTATCTCAAATTAGCGGATTGGGGAAATAAGTCAAAAGAGTGGTGCCTCAAAGATATCAAGTTCAATAAACTCAAGTTGTTGAAACTGGTGTCGTTAGGTATCTCAAGGTTGGATGACCCAGGGGAATCTTTTCCTGTGCTTGAAACGCTTGTTATAAAAATGTGTCACAAGCTTGAGGAGATTCCCCCTAGCTTTGCAGATATTGAAACATTGAAACAGATTAAGTTGATTGGGCGCAGGCCACAAACTCTGGAGCCTTCAGCTGTGAAACTTAAGGAAGACATCGAAGAGATTGAAGGATGCAGCCGTCTTAACCTCATTATGGATGTAAGTAGAAACAAACTCCTACGTGTTGTTTTTGAATATCAACGTGCATCTAATGTACAAACAATATGTTCGATACAGTTTGGATCAGTGAGCAACATAGGCGGCAGCGGAAACTTCAAGAGTTGCCTACCATTCTAATAAGTATCTTATATGTAGGCGATCGGCCCGCATGATATTAATTCATTTTTCTAAGGAAGAAGGTGTTTAACCAAAAAAATGGATTCTTTGACTAAAGCTTGAAAGAGATAAACGGGTCACTGATAATCAAGAGACAATTGTAAGAGGCTTTCAACAAAAAATAAAGTAAGAACTGCAATGATATAATTTTCAGAAATATTGTGAATCAAGTGAGTTTTTCTTAGTCTTCGATGATCCCCTTTTCAAGGTTAAGACAACTATTTATAGAATCATAGATTGCCCCTTTTTCTTTTACAATATTCATTAAAGAACCCCCTGATAGACTCTTTACAAAAAGGATCCGTTATTAAATTATAAACAATTAGCACTATGGAATAGTGCTTAACGCACTATTCCATGTTTCCTGTAACTTTATATTCAAGTGGAGTCTTTTCCTTTTTTAATTATTTTAGAGAGGTACAAAGCTTGATCTCTATCTTCTGTTGATTGGATCAAGGAGATCCCTTGGGTTTTCTCGAGGTTACATCAATGCCTTTCTTCTCGTGTACGAGTTGTATTTTCTTTCCCGTACCTATATTCAAAACCTTCTTCCCGTGCCTGTCTTAAAGTTTTCTTCCAGTGCCTGTTTCAAAGCCTTTGTCCCGTGTCTGTCTTAAAGTCTTCTTCCATGCTTGTCTCAAAGTCTTCTTCCCGTGCCTGTCTCAAGCCTTTGTCCCGTGCCTGTCTTAAAGTCTTCTTCCGTGCCTGTCTCAAAGTCTTCTTCCCGTGCCTGTCTCAAGCCTTTGTCCCGTGCCTGTCTTAAAGTCTTCTTCCGTGCCTGTCTCAAAGTCTTCTTCCCGTGCCTGTCTCAAAGTCTTCTTCCCGTGCCTGTCTCAAAGCCTTTATCCCATGCCTGTCTTAATATCTTCTTTCTCTTGTTGCAATCCACGTGTCAAGCCACATTTCTTAAATCAAGGTTGTGATTTTCACCCAATACAAAAGGTCCATTAGAGTAGCTTGCTATCCAGGCTTTCGCGCATTGCTTTGGCGATGCACTACAACCATAGCCTGGCGCACCCCACAAAAAAAATTTAAAAAAATGAAATAACAGGTGTTTCACAAAAAAAAATACTATGTTAAGTTTTTGGATATATACATATAATTTATCGTGTAAAAATCATTTGTAACAATAGAGCCACTAATGCTGCCATGCAGCGACTTCGGCCCCGATTATGGGTGGTTTCTAGCTAACAGTGCATATGCATTCATCTCTTTTTTTCAAAAAGGAAAGCATGAGAAAGCCATGAGGAATATGATCCCCTGATGGCCAGAATCATATTACAATATGTCTACAATAGCAAATAAAGTAGCTAGTACATAATTAGTATTTCTTAAACAATGGCCAAAGGAGGAATATCAAGTGGAAATTTCTCCTTTATTAGGTTTATCCTTTCACACCATAGAGTCCTAATTATCAATGATTAAGGAACTGACTTAATTAATATAAATCCTTAATTAATCTCCTCTTTATATTAAACGTCCTCTCTTATGGTAATTGTATTTGACTGTTAATTAGAATGGTAGGCAACTCTTGAGCTGTAACAGTACTACTTGCACATTAACTAATGCAACCATTGACTTTGAAGGCCAATAGGAATGGATTATCACCTGCAGATTAACTGTCTCTCTGCATTAATAATGTATTAGGTCCCTGTTATTCATTAAATAATTCTTCCATTGACTTTTGGTAGCATTTAGATCCAATCCAATAATAATTCATTCACTAATTTTGTTAGAGTATGCTAATGTGAGAAGGCCCTTTATGCTGATATTAATCTTCACTTTTCATTAATTACAAGTTTTCTCCTACTGCAAACTTTGGTATTTATCAGGTATGTTTCAGTAATTTTTTCTAATTTCACTTGACACGTTATATCTTAAAATTTTGGTCATGCATTTAGCTATAAGGCCTTTGAAACTTGCAGGAGTTTTCTACTTTATCTACGGAAGATGTCTGACAAGAGTTTGGAGATTAGGCCCTGCTTGGTTGCTGAGCCATCTAAACATCTGCAAAATCGATGTAGCGACCCTATGAATGATGAGGAGATATTTGGTTTTGAGAATGACGCTGAAAGGATAATTAAGCGTCTGAATGAAGGAAAAGAGGAGCTAGACGTCATTCCAATTGTTGGGATGGCTGGACAAGGTAAAACAACTTTTGTTAGAAAGTTGTATAATGATGATAACATTGTTTACCATTTTGATGTTCAAGCATGGTGCATCATTTCCCAAATATATAACCGACAAGAGTTATTACAAGAGATTTTCAATCAAGTTTCCGGTTCCAAGGCCAAGGTAGATGAGGTTGGCAAACTTGCTGACATATTGAGGAGAAAATTACTGGACAGGAGATATCTGATTGTCTTGGATGATATGTGGGATATTAAAGCGTGGGAAGATTTAAGATTATCTTTCCCAAATGGTGAAACAGGAAGTAGAATAATAGTAACAACCCGACTTGAGGAAGTAGGTAAGCAGGTCAAACACGATACCGATCCTTATTCTCTCCCATTCCTCACACGTGATGAGGGTCTAAAGTTGTTGCAGAAAAAAGTGTTTCAAAAGGAAGCTTTCCCACCTGAACTACAAGATGTCAGCCTAGCAGTTGCAAAAAGATGCAAAGGACTGCCTCTAGTGATTATCTTGGTAGTTGGAATAATCAAAAGGAAGAAAATGGAAGAATCTTGGTGGCATGAGGTTAAAAATTCTCTACTTTCCTATCTAGGTGAGGCTGAAGGATATAGTCTTTCGACTATGCAGTTAAGTTATGATAATTTACCCGATTCTTTAAAACCTTGCCTCCTTTATTTGGGGATGTTTCCTGAGGATGCGAGAATTCCAGTTTCTAAATTGATAAGTTTATGGATAGCGGAAGGCTTCGTGCAGAACATTGTGTCAGAGAGATTAATGGAAGAGGCAGCTGAAGATTACTTGATGGATCTCATTAGCAGTAATGTGGTGATGGTTTAGAGGAGAAGATATAACGGTAAAGTCAAATACTGCCAGGTTCATGCTGTCGTACTTCACTTTTGCTTGGAGAAAAGCAGAGAAGAAAAATTTATGTTGGCAGTGAAGGGGAATTATAGCGACTTTCAACTTTCCGAATGGAAGGAAACTCGACTAAGCATCAAATTAACTAAGCTTTCCATGATATTGCTCCCAGCAGAGCCATTAAGGTCACTGATAACAAATGATGGAGGAGAATTTTTACTATGGAATCCCTTCCCTGAGATTAGTAAATTGGAATTTCTTAAGGTGTTGGATTTGAGTTCTCATGAAGTGGTTCCTTTGTCATCAGCTATGTTTCATCCACTAATTTATCTGAAGTACCTCGCAGTTAGGACAAAACAATTTGATTTCCATCCGGAATCACATATATGCCATCTTGAAACATTAATTGTTCTTTCTTACATGAGCGTAGTGTTACCCCCGATTTTCTGGAAAATGGAAAAACTAAGACATGTTGAGATTAGTGGAGTTGTTTTTTATTTGGAAAACGTTAAGCAGGGGATCTTTGAAGAATCCTCTAAATTGGAAAATTTGAGGATATTAAGGCATGTTTGTTATCCAATTAACGATGGTGAATGCATGGATGTCTTATTACGGAGGTGTCCTAACGTTCAAAATCTTAGGCTCACTATCTCTAGCAGAAAGGTTCCTGGAGAGATTTGTACTTTCAGTCCCAAACTAGAGAGTCTTACTCGACTGCAATTACTTGACGTTTTCTTTGAGGGTAGGAGATTTAGCATACCTGAGTTACACTTTCCTTCAAATCTAAAGAAGTTGAAACTTGAAGGACCACATATAGTAAGCGCAGCTCCCTTGATTGCGGGACTACCAAATCTAGAGTATCTCAAATTACAGGATTGGGGAACTAAATCAGAAGAGTGGTGCCTCAAAGATATCAAGTTCAATAAACTTAAGTTGTTGAAACTGGTGTCGTTAGGTATCTCAAGGTTGGATGACCCAGAGGAATCTTTTCCAAAGCTTGAAACGCTTGTTATAAGAATGTGTCACAAGCTTGAGGAGATTCCCCCTAGCTTTGCCGATATTGAAACATTGAAACAGATAAAGTTGATTGGGCGCAGGCCACAAACTCTGGAGCCTTCAGCTGCGAAACTTAAGGAAGACATCGAAGAGATTGAAGGATACAGCCGTCTTAACCTCATTATGGACGTAAGTGGAAACAAACTCCTACATTCTGTTTTTGAATATCAACGTGCATCTAATGTACAAACAATATGTTCGATACAGGTTTGGATCAGTAAGCAACATAGCCGGAAGCTGCCACTTCAAGCACAAATTCGACTTCTATGGCTTTGTTTATAGCCAAGACCTTCCCCTTTCCTGCCTTGATTTCAGCTGACTGCTCAAACNCTGATACCAATTGTTAGGAAATTCGGCTAATCTAATTATTAAATTAGGCGTAGCGGAATTAAATGCCCAGTTTAATTTTCGGTCTATTTAAACTATTGGGAGTCTTCTAGCAAGAGCAAATTCAGATTTTATGTAGCAACTAATATACCAAAAGAAACTACTTCAAGGCAAAGATAAAATACGCAAGAGACACCAAGATTTTTACGTGGAAAACCTCTTCGATGTGAAGAAGAAAAACCACGGGACCTCCGCCACAAAACACTCCACTAATCACCAAAGTCTTGTTACAAAAGTACTCCAAAATGGCTACACAACTTATACCAAACAAGGAGTAACAACAACAAGAAAATTATACCAAACAAGAGAGTAAAGAGAAAAAATATCACCAAAAATAGCCCACTGTTCTGGAACTGAAAATGGGTGCTATCGAACTCCAAAAATTTTGATTCTTGTTTCTAATGAAAGATCAAGATGTTGGGAACGTGCTGTCCAAAAATTAGCTCAATCCGACTAGAAACGAAGGAGAAATGAATTTTTGAAGTTGAAGACTGCTTGCTGAAAATTTCAGCTTTCACTCTTGTTTTTTTTTTCTCATATATTTTGATTAAGTGTGTGTCATGAAAATGAGAATGAAATGGTGTTTATATAAGGTGAAATATGATGAACTTTATAGGTGTATCCATGGTGTAACACATGGACAAAGTTGAAGGAACATGGTGTAACACATGGACAAAGTTTGAAATAACATGGTGTAACACATGGACAAAGTTGAAAGAACATGGTGACACCATGATGAAGAATATTTGTGGGGTTTATGTGATGGTGGTGGTGGAGGTCCAAACATCATTTTGTTCTCCACATGGGAGGGAAAAATAATGAAAATCCCAACAATTCTCCCCCGACCGACTATGTGGAGGAGATCGCCATTCCAGCGATCAGACAACATTCTTCAAATTTTCTTCTTGGCAAAGTTTTTGTCAACATATCCGAGCCATTATCATCAGTATGAATCTTCTTGAGTTCAAGCAGCTCGTGATCAAGTACATCACGAATCCAATGATATCGAACATCGATATGTTTTGATCTACCATGAAATGTTGAATTCTTACCAAGATGAATTGCGCTTTGACTATCACAATAAAGCACATATTTTTCTTGAGTAAAGCCAAGCTCCCCCATAAATCGCTTCATCCAAAGCAATTCTTTGCTAGCTTCAACAACAGCAATAAGCTCAGCTTCTGTAGTAGATAGAGCCACATATTTTTGCAATCTAGATTGCCAAGACACAGCTCCCCCTGCAAAAGTAATCAAGTAGCCTGAAGTAGATTTTCGAGTATCAACGTCACCTGCCATATCTGAGTCGGTATAACCACAGAGAATAAGATCCTCTGTCCCAAAACATAAACTCAAACGAGAAGTGCCACAAAGATATCTCATGATCCACTTCACTGCATTCCAATGTTCTCTTCCTGGGTTAGAAAGATAACGACTAACAGTACCAACTGCATGAGCTATATCTGGTCTAGTACAAATCATTGCATACATCAAACTACCAACAGCTGAAGCATAAGGAACTTTCTTCATATCTTCCTTCTCATCATCAGTAGAAGGACTCTGCTTCCTGCTCAATTTAAAGTGCAAAGCCAAAGGTGTACTGACAACTTTAGCTTTATCCAAATTAAATCTATGAAGTACCTTTTGAATGTACCTCTCCTGTGATAACCACAATTTCTTGACTTTTCGATCACGAACAATTTGCATGCCAAGAATTTGCTTAGCTGCTCCAAAGTCTTTCATAGAAAAAGACTTGTTCAATTCTTGTTTTAACTTTTGAATCCTGTGGGTATTCTGACCAACAACAAGTATGTCATCAACATAAAGCAACAAGATAATATAGTCATTATCAGAGAATTTTTGCACAAAAACACAGTGATCTGAAGAAGTCCTTTTGAAACCCTGTTGTTCCATAAAAGACCCAAACTTTCGATACCACTGCCTTGGAGCTTGTTTCAAGCCATACAAGCTCTTCTTCAGTTTACAAACATAATTCTCTTTTCCCTTGACTTCAAAACCTTCTGGCTGCTCCATATAAATTTCTTCATTTAAATCACCATGAAGAAAAGCAGTTTTAACATCCATTTGTTCAACCTCTAAGTCTAGACCTGCAGCTAAACTTAGAACAACACGAATGGATGACATCTTCACAACAGGAGAAAAAATTTCATTAAAATCAATACCTTTTTTCTGATTAAAGCCCTTGACAACTAACCTAGCCTTGTACCGTGGGATTGGATAGCCATCTTCTTGTTTTACCCTAAAAACCCACATATTTCTCAAAGCTCTTTTGTCTTTAGGCAATTTAACCAAATCAAAAGTATGATTGTCAAGCAAAGATTTCATTTCATCTTTCATGGCATCAAACCACTTTTCTTTTTCTTCACTTTCCATGGCCTCTTCAAAACTTTCAGGTTCTCCTCCGTCAGTCAAAAGTACATAATCACCTGGAGAATAAAGTGTTGAAGGCATTCTCACCCTAGTAGATCTTCTTAGAGAAGATTCTGGAGCATCAACAGTGATTGGTTGTTCATCAACCACATCATCATGAATTGGAGCATCGGAAGCATCATCAGCTTGCTGGTCGTTCTGAAAATGATCATCATTAGTATCATCAACCTGAATTTCATCATTTCTAAAATTTACCTCAGGTGTAGTAGTCACAGGAACTGGATCAACATCAACTAGGCTTTCACTTCTCTGAGAATCTATTTTCTCAGTTTTGTCAAGATCTTCAATTGTTTGGTCTTCAAAGAACACAACATCATGGCTTCTAACAAGTTTCTTCTCCACTGGATCATAGAAACGATAGCCAAATTCGTCTTGACCATAACCAATGAAAATACACTGCCTACTTTTAACATCCAGCTTTGACCTGTCATCTTTAGGAATATGCACAAAAGCTTTACAACCAAAAACTCTCAAATGATCATAAGTAATATTTTTACCATACCAAACTCTGTCAGGGACATCACCATCCAAAGCAACAGTGGGAGATAAATTGATAATGTAAGCAGCAGTGTTGAGTGCTTCTGCCCAAAATGAGTTTGGCAGCTTAGCCTCTGAAAGCAGACATCTAACTCTCTCAACAAGTGTCCTATTCATCCTCTCTGCTAAGCCATTTAACTGAGGAGTTTTTGGAGGAGTTTTCTGATGTCGAATACCCTGCGCTTTACAATATTGATCAAAAGAACCAATATACTCACCGCCATTATCAGTACGGATGCATTTTAATTTTCTTCCAGCTTGTCTTTCCACTAAGGCCTGAAAATTCTTAAATACATCAAGTACCTGATCCTTAGTCTTCAAAGGAAAAACCCAGAGTTTACGTGAATGATCATCAATAAAAGTCACAAAATAAAGTGCACCACCTTTAGATTTTTCCTTAAAAGGACCACATAAATCAGAATGTACCAGTTCCAGTAGATCAGATTTTCTCAAAGGCGGATGACTGTGAAATGAGACTCTTCTCTGTTTTCCAGCTAAGCAGTGAACACATTTATTTAATTTTGCATGTTTCACTCCAGAAAGCAATTTTTCCTTAGCCAAACAGTCAATCCCCTTTGCACTCATATGACTCAGTCTCCGATGCCACAACTCTGATGGAGGATCACTCTCCATCAAATTTACTGAGTCACCTGAAATAGAACCCTGCATAGTATACAAGTTAGAGTACTTGTTACCTCGGGCCACAACTATCGAGCCTTTAGTGAGCTTCCATGGACTATCACCAAATTTGCTATGATAGCCATCATCATCCAGCTGTCCTACAGAGATTAAATTCAAGCGGATATCTGGAGCATGTTTGACATTTTTAAGAACTAACCTTGAACCAATGTTAGTTTTCAAGCAAACAGTTCCTATGCCAATAACATCAGATTCACCATCATTCCCCATTTTTAATACTCCAAAATTACCGGGAGAATAAGAAGAAAATAAATGTTTCTTCGAAGTGACATGATTAGAGGCACCTGTATCCACCACCCAACTAGTCTCTTGGCAAACAATATTGACAACACTTTCATCACATGCAAAAAGAAGATCAGGTGTAACAACAGTAGCAACACGATTTTCATTATCCCCATCGTCTTTCTTTTGTTGTTTTATTTCCTTTTTGTATTTATAACAATACTTCTTAATATGCCCTGGTTTGCCACAATGATCACATTTAAAATTTTTATACCTGGACCTCGACTTGCTTCTACTTTTGCCTCTGTCTCCTTGACTTCTGAATTTATTTCTCCCCCTGTCTTCAGTAACTAAAACGTCAGAGTGTGAGGTTGAAGAAGATGAGGCTTGAGATCTTCTCCTCATTTCTTCATTTAAAACACCACTCTTAACCATTGCCAAAGTTACTACACCATTAAAAGCAGAATTAGTCAAAGAAACTTTGAGAGTTTCCCAAGAGTCCGGCAAAGTATTAAGAAGCCAAAGTCCCTGTATTTCATCATCAAATTTTACGCCCATACCTGACAACTGATCAAGGACACCCTGAAAATCATTAATATGGTCAGAAATATGACGACCCTCTTTATATCTAATATTCATCAATTGATTTAGCAAGAACAATTTATTGTTGCCAGTTTTTGAAGCGTAAAGTGTCTCGAGCTTTTCCCACAATGTTCTAGCATGTATTTCATTCACAATATGATTTCGAACATTGTCTTCAACCCATTGCCTGATATAGCCACAAACCTGAAGGTGCTCAAAATCCCAATCATCATCAGATATATTATCGGGTTTCTTAGTAGCAAATACAGGTAAGTGCATTTTCTTGACATATAATAGATCTTTCATTTTGCCTTTCCATACATGGTAATTAGTGCCATTTAAACACACCATCTTGCTCATATTAACCTCCATAGTTTAATAGACAAATGATCAACCAAATATCAACCAAAGCTCTGATACCAATTGTTAGGAAATTCGGCTAATCTAA